AAATGTTTCGGCCAGGAACTTTATCTTGGTAATCTTTGCTTAGGTATATCAAAATACAGTATTAGCGTTTGTTCATTTTATCTCTGCTAATAAAAAAATATGTTAAAATAATTGACTACTAAATTATTTCTTAATACGAGTATACTATTTGAAAATGTTTGCGTTTTTAGGTTTTAATTATAGAAATTAAATTTATTTTTCTTCTTAAATACGACCCTGAAGTAATTGTTGCACGAGATAAAATTATTCTCGTTTTGTAGAAATGATTAGCACAGCTTAATTGTCGTACAGTTTTTGTTGCAAATATATTTTATTAAGAAGATAAAATTATTCTCGTTTTGTAGAAATGATTAGAACAGCTTAATTGTCGTAGTTGTTTTTGTTGCAAATATATTTTATTAAATAAATATTAAAATAACGTCCTACAAGTCTAAATGGCCGCCATATTGAACGAAATTGCAAGACATTTCTAAAATTAAAAATATTGACAGTATTATAGTTTAGATAGAGATAAAAGCCATATTAATCCAATAGTTTTTTTTTATTTATAAGTAAATTGGCGTATTCTTAATACAAAAAATGGATATTTTATTTTTGTTTTAGATTTACAAATACTCATTAAACCGAGGCGCCTCAAATTTTTGTATAATTTGTGATATATAAATATTACACGCAAAAACGACTTTCTGTGGGCAGAGCACCATATTCCTAAATCACGTGTTACGTGAAATTAATTTTAAATTAATTTCAAATTTATTTTTAACAACTTCTCCATAACTCCCCGTAACACAATTTAAACAACAATCGCTCGCTTCTCGAGATTTGCGCACGTGCCTAGCGTTTCTTTCGGCATTCACTCTGAGATAAAACCGACTGGTGTTGATTAACCGGCCTTTTGGTTTATCGAGTTCAAAACTTCAATGTGGTCGTGTGTGCCGACAAATAATCTACTAGTTTTGGTTATTATGAGATTTCCGTAATTATCTTGTGTTTTATATGTGATTATTGTATGTTTCCGTTGGGATAATTGTCAGGTAATGTCTTTTTCAACTTATATTTTAGCGCTTTGCTGGATTTAGTTGGAAAGCCGATAGATCGGATATTTGTTTTTTTTTATTACCATCATGCTGACGAGTGCCGGTTATTATTATTGTTTTTATTTTATATAGATTATAGCTACTCTACCTAATATTATTTTTAAGTTTTCGTTGATATATACGCGGGGAGACTACTAAATAATTGAATTACAGTCTGGAAACAGTTTAAACAGAAATCTATGGCTCTTAACTTATTTTGGCCTTATAAATAGTTTATATTATGTTCAGATGACGTAAAACTAATTGTTATAACTTATTTTGGCCCTATAAATATTTTATATTCTGTTCAGAACGATGTAACTTTAATATTTTTCCCGTTTATGCATAATTTTGTTAGATTTCCAAACTGGCCTGTAGATGTATTATTCCTGTTACTGAGGTTCTTTTTATTTCTAAACCTGTAGTCCAGTTCCAAGTCCGAGTTATGTAGTATCTCCAAGAAGCTCCAAGTTACGTAGTTTCTCCAATTCCAAGCTCCAAAGAGTGTAGTTTCTCCAAGTTCCGAGTTCCAAGTGCGAGCTCTAAGCTCCGAGGTACGTAGCTTCCAAGCTCCAGGTTATGTAGCTCAAAGTTACAAAGTAGTTTCGAAATAGCTCCAAGTAGCTCCGAAGCAGCTTGTAATGAAACTCACAAATAGGGTTGTGGTAAAAACTGATTAAAAAGCGGTATGGAGCCCAAAGTATTTATTCCAAAGCCAGAGTTCGAATTTCAACTAAAATATAATAATTCCTAAAGAAATAAGCCACGCCATTGACCGATATAAAAAATGATTATAAAAAGTTACTAAAAAAGTGGTAATATAAGTGCAACAACAAAATAATAATAGTAATATTAATATTATAGTTATAAGATTATAATAAATAGTAAAAATGGGTTTTACCTACCTAAATTGCAGGCACAAATTAATCTTGCTTATTAACAAAATTACTTATTAAAACCAAGAAACAACTTGTTGAAAATCTAGTCTAAAATGATCGGTCAAAGCGCGCAAGAAAATAATTATCTGACCTTCTCGAAGCACAACTTTTTGCTAGGTCCCCCTCTGGCTAAATAGCGATAAGGTCGCGCAAAACGATGTGAAAAATGTGTTGCCTACCTTGAGCTTTCAATATTATTAATTAATTGTAAATCTACACTCATAAAACAGAGCAAGACGAGGTTGATGTGTTACATCGTCACCCCCTCTCCTTGAGTGTCGGTGAAGAGCATCTAAAAAGTGCTTGAATCGCGCTCATTTTAAAAGAAAAACCCATATTAATTCTAATTCTTGAAATGTAAAGAAAATTAAAAAAAAACTCACCTATTCTCACCAGTGTAATATTTTTTTAAATGCGAAGCATGAAACATTCCGCGTTCTGTACCATCATTATATAATAAAATATAAGTATCATCATGTATTTGACGTTTTATGCGAAATGGACCCTCGAATAGTAATAATAATTTTTTTGTTTCCGCCTTAAGTGCTGAAGAGGTATTATTTGCCTTAAGTAACACCAAGTCATTTTGTTTGAATTTTTCATATGGTTTACCCGGATGTGCCACGGCACGGCGTGCTGCCTTTGAGTGAAGGGATTCAGTTGCTAAAATCAACTTCTCCGCGTGACTTAACTGATTTTGTCCATTAGGAGGGCGTAACGTGTTTGGCAGAAGCTTAGGTTTCTGCGTTCCTAACTGCAACTCATTTGGGGTGAACCCCGTTGTTTCGTGTACTACCGAATTTAAAAACTGTTCAAACTCCTTTATCATACTAGCCCACTTGCTGTGTTGCTCATGGCAAAATGCACGCATGATTCTTCCAATCTCTCGCATACATCGTTCGCTTGGGTTTGCCATGGGATGGCGTACCGAAATGTAAACTAGGGTAATGCCCAGTGTTTGAAAAGTATTATGCCACAATTTAGCTGTAAATTGTGTAGCATTATCATGAAGGATACGTTCAACAGGGCCATACGTCGGTAGATAATCCTTAGTAATTCGGTTAAGGATAGCTCTGGTTGTAGCACGTTTTAATGGATATAATTTTAGATGTTTAGTGAAAACATTAAGAATTACGAGAAGATAGGTCACACCTCCACGACCCTTAATAAGTGGACCAAAACAGTCAATTGCAATTAAATCATTTTTGGAGTTAGGTATTATTTGTTTTTGTGGTGGTTTGGGTAAAGATGAAATTTTAGATTTCTGACATGTGTCACAGCATTTAATAATTTTTTTGATTCTCCTCTGCATATTATTAAAATATACTTCACTTTTCATACCTGCATGAGTTTTGTATAATCCAAAATGCCCCAAAGCTTCATGATATCCCCTTATACATTCATTGATTAGTTTATCTGGGATACATAGCAACACATCATTTTCATCATTACCATATTTATATAAAATATGATTATGTATGACAAATTTCCGAGATAATTGCTCATCTTCTGGTAAGTTCTGGATAATATCTTGATAGAAAGGGTCAGACATTTGATGTTCTTTAATATTTTTTAGATTGCTTTGAAAAATATTAGGGAGTTTCAAGGCTAAAAGCTGAAAACATTTATCCGAAGGTGTGGGAAGACGAATACAACTGTATCTAGAAAGTGCATCAACCACGTAGTTATCTTCTCCTTTTAGATGAACAATTTTAAAAGAGAATTCTTGCAAAGCCAACGCCCATCGTGTTAGCCTGGGAGAAAGTAACCTGCAGCTATTTAGGTAGGTGAGGGTCCTACTATCCGTGTATAGGGTGAAAGTGTTTCCCAATAGATGTACCCTCCATCTTTGAATAGCCCACAAAGCTGCTAGGGCTTCTTTTTCGTTTGAATGGTACCTATGTTCCCTATCAAGTAATAGACGACTCGCCCACGCTACTACTTTCTTTTTATTATCGACTACCTGGAATAGCTGCGCTGCGATGCCTATGTCACATGTGTCAGTAACTAAATGCCATGGTAAAGCAGGATCAGGATGATACAACATAGTAGACTCCTGTAACTCTCTTTTTAAACTATGGAATGCCTCTTCCTGTAGCTGCGTCCATTTCCAGGCCACCTTCTTACGCATAAGATATGATAATGGTTCGGCTATAGCTGCAAATTTCCCTGAAAAACCATCATAATTGCAGAGTCCCAAAAACTTTTGTAACCCTTTTATATTTGTTGGCCTCTGATAATCTACAATTGCTGACAATATAACCGAGAAACGGCATTTCCGATTGGAAAAATTGACATTTAGCGAGTTTAATCGTTAAGCCTGCTTCATACAGCCTGCGAAAAACCAACTCGAGATGTCTAAAATGTTGCTCCTCCGACTCAGACATCACCAAAAGATCATCTACATAGTTAATCAAAAATTCTGAAAATTCTTTATCAAAAATTATTGACATTGCCCTTGTAAAGGAAGACACTGCAGTACATATGCCAAAGGGAAGTACCTTAAATTGGTATGTTTTATTTTCAAACATAAACCCCGTATATTTTCTATCTTGTAACCGAAGAGGGATTTGCCAGTATGACAATGATAAATCAATTTTTGATAAATATCTTTTCCCATTTAGTCTAGGTATTATGTCGTCAATACGTAAGGGTGCTTCAAAATCAGGCACAATTACTTTATTTAGATGCCTAGCATCATGGCAAACGCGTACCGAGTTATCACGCTTAACTGCTGTAACCAAGGGTGAAATATATGGTGTTGAGGCCCGCTCAATAACACCCCAATTCTCCATATCATTCTGTAATCGAACGGTTCGTCTCTTAGTTTCATAGAGGACGGTTGATTTATTTTTGCTACTGCTTTTAGTTCGATTTCGGACCACCAGGTTTCTAACCTCAAAGTTTTTAAAAAAAGTTTATTGTTATTGTTTTCGATCGCGCCAGGTATAGTAAAATACCACACGGTAATTCGCGACAACCGCCTATGGCGGAACCCGAAAGGGTAGCCACAACCACCCCTACACCCAGCAACCAGGGAGACCCAAATTTTATTAACACACTATTCTCAAGGAGAAATAAAGACAGAATTGACAAGCTGCTTCTACAAACACCATCTCTGGATGCACACAAACCACCCCAACACAGCCCCCGGAGGGATAGTGGACATAACCACCCTTACCGTCATGTGAGTACTCCTAATCCTAGTAGACATAGCAAATCTAGAAGTAGAAGTAGAAAAGATTCGTCTGAAAATATTTCCCGAAAAAAAAGTTTGGAGAAAACTTATTCTGACCCAAAATCTGACCATAAGTCAGTACCAGAAAAGCCCCAACACTTAAACCGCTCCGGTCACTCACCCAGCGAAAGAGACTGTTCTAACGCCCAAGAAGTTGAACAAAATGAAAGTATGGAGAATACCAAAGAAAGTATGGAGAAAGGTGATGTGCTGAAAAATACAACAGTATTCCACATACTTTCTAAAAATAATTTTGACAATAACGCGAACGCGTCAAGCCCGATCGACTCGCCGGATAGTGATGGCAATTTTACAAACTTTAAAAGTGCGGAGAACTCGCCTCTAAACAATACACTTGTAAACGTCGGTGAATTCGGTAGTGCGAGCGAAAAAGTGAAATATATCACCGGTATCGCGGAACAAAACATTGACAATTTAATCATTCAAAGTGCCGAGAATGCAGAGAAAAGACTCTTAGAACTAGCCAAAGACAGTACAGATTTGGAAAGTATGGAGAAAAATTTAGAAAGTATGGAGAAAACGCGAGAAAGTATGGAGAAAGCACTGAAAAGTATGGAGAAAACTCAGAAAAGTTCGGAGAATGAACTGAAAAGTTTGGAGAACACGAAAAAAAGTAAGGAGAATATATTTAAAAGTTTGGAGAATATACACAGAAGCTCTGACAACGAGAATACAAGTTCGGAGAATAGCTCGGAAAGCTTGGGGAAAGCCAACACTAAGGCCCAATCATCGGGATATGATTTCCCAAACTTTGTGTCGGCATACAACACGCTGCCGTTACCAGCCACGGTCACCGAGAGAATTCTAAACTTTAGAACGGACGCGCAAAACATTACCTCTAGCGAGGACGAGTCGATGAAAACGAGACAATCGAACACCGTCGTGACCAGTGACCAAATCCGAAAATTCACTGGACTGAAACCGTCGGGGTCCACGGGCGCGGTCGCGAAAACCACACCTGAACAGCCCTCGAAACGAAAAAGGCTAGGGCAACGGCCCACAATTGAGGAACAGAACAACGACGGACCAGTAAGCATGGAAACCAACGACTCTGAAGGTTTCAAAACACCTAAGAAGTTTTCTACTAACTTTGTAAAAGTTCTAAGAGAAAAAGCGGTGAGATCGATAAAACTACAGAACAAATATAATGCCCTATCAGATACCGACTCAGATGAAGAAAATTACCCACCCAAGAAAAACGACACTAAAAAAGCCGCAACCGACAGGCCAAAGGAGACAGAAACACATAAACCTCCAAAAACTAACACGGTCAACAAAACCAACCCAACTATCCCAAAAAAATCGACTATGCCCCCGATAGTAATAGAGGGCAGGACTGACAACCACAACAGCCTCAAAAAAGACCTGCAAAGCATTGTCAAGGGTAAATACACAATTAAATATACATCGAACTCCACCATATTATACCTCGAGGAACTAGCAGATCATAAAAACCTCCTGGCTAGCTTTAGAGAAGCCAAAATATCCCACCACTCCTACACAAGCCGATCAGACAAATCGCACGCGTTTGTTCTAAGAGGAATAGCGGAAGGTACCACCCTGGAACAGATTGAAGAGGATCTGATGCAATCGTACGACATCAAAATCAGGGATTCATACAAAATGTCCACGAAAAATCGCCCTCTCTTCCTGATCGTAACGGATCCGGCTATCACGCTCGACTTCCTAAATAAAAACATTCGAGTGGTTGAGAACACCAGGGTGGTATGGGAGCTCCGAAAATCCGTAAAAAGCATTATACAGTGCCATAATTGTCAGGCGTGGGGGCACGCCACCGCGAATTGTGGTCGCCCCCCTAAATGCCTCAAATGCGCCGAGGATCATCATACAAGATCATGTACAAAGTCAAGAGACACCCCGGCTACATGTATAAACTGCTTAGGAGAGCATCCAGCCAACTACACAGGATGCTCAGCCTACAGAGAAAGAGTCTCCAGAATGGAGGAAAGAAAGGCTCTAAGCCAACCCAAAAAATACATCCAAGCTCCACCCCCAGCAGTAAATGTATGGAATAAAAAACCCTCAGGCCCAAACAAAAATAATAAAGAAGACTTTCCACCCCTACCCACTAGAAGGGCTTCCCAGAACCCACCACCAGCAGCGCAGGCCCAGAGTCAACAACAACCACAACAACAGCCACCACAGAACAACCAAGGGGAGTCAATAGACGACATGTTCGCCCTAAACGACGAATTTACAACCCTAAATAGTCTGGTAAATATTGCGGAACTCACCCGAGCTGTACGTGCCCTCAATAATTCCCTCAGACAATGCCGAGACGACCGCGACATATTCACGACATATAATAACTTTGTAAAAAACCTAAATCAATACCAATTCAGAAATTAAATTCAACAATACACATAGACACAAACTACGAATCTGTTTTTACAATGTGAACGGGCTGTTAAGTAAACGCGGTTTAATAACAAACTTCATTCACAAGCATAAATTCGACATTATAATTTTAACAGAGACGAACCTCAAACCTACAGACAAATTCAGAATACGAGATTATAACACTATACGAGAAGACAGACCTGAACACAACAGACAAAACGTACGACAAAGGGCAGCGGGAGGGGTAGCTTTCCTTGTAAGAACTAATTTAACTTTCGAACAACTACCCAATGCAAACATATCACAGCATATTGAACACATAATAATAAAATGCAACAATTATATTTTTATAGGAGCGTACAACCCCCCAGCCAGAAGGATTCTTGCGGCAGACATGCATGCCTTAATGTCAAAAGGCAACAGAGTTTTTCTTGCAGGAGACCTGAACTGCAAACACCCTGAATGGGACGCGAACTGTATAAACCCGAACCCATCAGGTAACATGCTGAAAGAGTACGCCGACGACAACGAACTTATCATCCACTATACGGACGAACCGACTTTTACCCCATTTAACGGATCCACCCCCAGCACACTGGACATCGCGGTCACGAAAAACATACCTGATATTCAAAACATTCGAACAATAAGTACTATTAACTCGGACCACGATCCAGTGTGCTTGGAGCTAAGGACGACTCAAAAAATCAACAGACAACAAAAACAGTACTACGACTTTAAAACCACAGACTGGAACAAATACAGACAAATAATAAACGACACATTAACGCTCAATAATAACATACAAAGCCCCGAAGTGCTAGAAAACATCACAAAAGACCTAATCTCAACCATACAAAAAGCTAGAAACGACTCCACAAAAATCAAAACAACCCCACTACACAAAGACATCCTGCCACCTGACATAACAGAACTGATTAATAACAAAAACAAAATACGGAAAAGGTGGCAGCTACACAGGAGAGCCGAGGACAGGGTTATGCTAATGGACATCGCCAGGCACACTAATTATGAAATAAACCAACATAGAAATAAAATATGGCAAAAAACCCTGTCCGAAGTGAACCCCGGAGACAATTCATTGTGGGGGGTAGTAAGAAGGTATAAAAAACCCAGCTCACAACTTCCCACAATGAAACAAGGACAAAACACATACACTACCGATAATGATAAGGGACTAGCCTTCGGCGAACACTTCCAGCATAACTTCACTAATCAATTCGCAAATAACGAACATCAAACCCAAATTGAGGAAATAATTAAAGACTTCGGCGCATCTGACCCAGTTCACGTCCCCCACTCTACTCTGACCTCTCCTAAAGAGGTAGGGGATGCAATCAGGAAACTCAAAAATAGAAAAGCTCCGGGGCCGGATGGCATTACTAATAACTTATTAAAAAATCTTCCCAAAAAGGGGGTTGTACAACTCAATTACATAATAAATGCAATCTTCAGGCTACAACACTATCCTAGTTGCCTGAAGATTGCAAATATTATACCTATTTTAAAAGCCGGCAAAAACCCAAAAAACATAGAAAGCTATCGACCCATCTCGCTGCTAAATACAATAACTAAAATCATAGACACTATTATATTAAACAGACTTAACAATATTGAACAACGACTCAGACTTATCCCGCAGGAACAGTACGGGTTCCGAAGGGGGCACAGTACCGTTGCACAAATATTAAGAATCGCGCACTACGCTAAAGAAGCCACTAATGTCAGCAAACAAACGGTACTTGTCGCCCTTGACTGCGAAAAGGCCTTCGATTCGGTCTGGACCTGCGGGTTAATCCACAAAATGCTTGTGAATGATTTTCCCGTACATATTGTAAAGACAATTCATTCATACATAACAAACAGACAATACAACGTAAAGATTAACAATACTACGACAGGACCATACATCGCGCAGGCGGGAGTACCCCAGGGCTCAGTACTTTCGCCGCATTTGTACACCATTATGACCCATGACATGCCAATGGGTGATAATGGGGTACAAACGGCACTGTACGCCGACGATATCTGTATTTATAATTCCGATCTCTCTGCAGAACTCGCCCTCAGGACATTGGACATCCATATAAACAGGAAGTTAGTCCCCTATCTGACTAAAAACAAGATAAAGATAAATCCTCACAAAACCGAGAGTCTAATAATTACTAAACGTAGAACAATAGGAAACATTATAACCCCACTCAGTATTCAGGGGCAACAGGTAGAAACCAAAGATCACATGAAATATCTTGGTTTTCAGCTGGATAAGGGACTGACTTTCAATCGGCATACTAAAGACAGGGTGACTAAAACACAAGCAGCCATCAAAACTCTATATCCCCTCCTAAACAGAAGGAGCAGAGTCACCCTGCAAAATAAACTATTATTATTTAAAACCATGCTAAGACCGATCATGACATATGGATGTCCAGTGTACTGTTCGATGGCCAACTGTCATTACAGCAAACTGCAAATTACGCAGAACAGATGTCTTCGGCTAGCTCTGGGCTACGACCGTTATGCAAGAATCGAAGACATGCACATACAAACTCAGACTCCACGAATTAAGGACTACATACTCGAAACAGCCGAGAATTTCTACACACGGTGTCTCCCCGATTATGTGAAGGATGATATCTTTAGCATCTATCGCGGGGACGGCGTGCGTAGAAAACACGGCTGTTTACACGCGAAACTGGACATATATAGACACAGACAATAATAATAATAACAAAAATACTTTAACATTCCTCCTTAACGATCCCAGACAAACTAAACAACAGCCCACACCGACTAAATACTAACGTAAACTAGTCGGACGGCGGACTGAACGGCGAACCGGCCATCGAAGCAACAAACGAGAAACCCACGATTGTTGCCTCGATGGACGGTGCATCGAGCAGTCTGCCTGTGAGCTGTAATACCGAACAACAGACTAAACAAACAAACTATACACACAAGGACAACCCTGTTTTTTCTAGCTTTTTCAGGGGACAAAAACCAAAACACAAACGCGACATATCCTTATACAAATTCCCATTACCGATCCCAAAACAACCATAATCCCTCAATAATACTGTGCAGTAAGGAGTGAGGGCCACAATATTTGACCATTTTTTTTACAGGATAGGGGGTAGATATAGGTTGGACAAGTCCGGGCGGACGATTGACCGCACGACAGGAAGATCTCCGGTTGTGTTGATATACTATTTCCAATCCTGACATGTATATACATTTTTAACTGTGTAAATAAAATATTGTTATGTTATGTAATCGAACGGCAAGTAAAGCGTTACTTAAAATCAAGCCCCATATACCTACCTAGCGAGTACACAACTTTAATTCGAGGTGCAAAAAAACTGGCAAACCATTTCATGTAAAGGAGCTAACCTTTAAGGATTTTTCCGATTTAAAACTTTTAAATTCAAAGATTGGAAATCTTGCTGGAGGCGAAAATTTAAGCAATATCAGGAATATAAAAATTGAAAAAAATGATCCATTTACAGTTTTTTATAAAACGTCGTACTCTCATGTAGACTTTTCAGAAATGACTGTGAAAACAGTTCGCGGCAGGAGTAACATAGCATTGACACTGGAACCAGCATACAAATCTAAAATAAAAATTGAGGAGTCTGCTGCAAGAAGGATGCAGCTCCATTTTTGGTAATTGTTGGGAAATTGAAAAAAACTGTTTTTCTTTTAAAGTTTTTGTTTCAAACTGAAAAACGAAGTACCAATCAATAATATCGAGGTTTAGTCAATATTTGAAACTATTTTAAACCTTATTATTTTTGGAGAAATTAGAAAAAATTAGAAACAAAAGCTGGAGCTGCATCTTTCTTCCACCAAACACTTGAAAAAATGCGTGCTTACTACAGTCTTTGGCAAAAATAACAAAATACCTAGTGAAAATCCTTTATTAAGTAAGAAAAGTCAAAAGAATATAGGTCACCAAATACAAAAAAATATAAAAAACAATAAAAATACGCAGGTTGGTATATAAAAAAAAATCAACATTCGAAAAAAATCGAAATAATAAACTCACGCGAACCTACACTTCATTCATCTACCTGGTCATCATCATCCGTTCCAGATGTTTCGGGTCCCTGGTTCTCTGCTACAGCTTCACTTCTGAGGCAGTTGTAGAAAGCCATTTGGTCCATTGGAACGAATCGTGTTGCCAATTGCATTACATCCTGATACTTGGCTGGGATATCAGAAGAAACTGAGAGATCGATTTCAAGGTCTCTCAAGAGTTTAAAAAACAGAAAAATCGGAAGGCCAGTAGATATGCTAACTTTGATACCATCCAAGTGTTCCTTGCTGTATTCAAAAATGCGGTGGTATTTTGAAATCTGGAACCTTTGTCTGTCCTCATTTAAGATCACTTTTTTTAAAATGTCCTTCATAGTGACCACTGAAGTTCAGGATCATATTTTGTTTTACCAGAATAGGGATGAACTTTTTGGATGATTGCTTGATAAAATCTGCGTATTGTTTAGGGCTGAAAGCGTAGTCCTTCTTCCTCAAAAACTTCTCAATAACTCCGAAGCACCGATCACATGGTAGAAAGCTGTGACCCGGCTCAGGAAAACGATGTTCAATCTTGTCAATAGACGTAGTTTTTATGAGCAAATACAAAAACTGAGTCATTACAGAGTTTTTGTTTTGAGCAGCAGCATTATCAGAGAAGAGATATAAAACTTTGACATTTTTTGGGAGTATATTATTTATGTAATGGTACAAAAATGACACCACCTCGTTTGGCGACTTTCGAGCTGTCGTTTCATCGTACATATAAAAGTGTGCTTGATTCGTCTTGGCAGAATGAACGCAGAAATTATATGTCCACAACTGGCGATTGTAAAAAGCTTCCCCAGCAGGAACTTTTGGAAGGGGAAGGTTTTGCTGGAAGTCAAATGTCAAAACTTCAACTTCATCGTTCTCTTTGCACAAGTTACTTTTCTTATTCAGTTCCTTAAAAAAGAAATCGGCCTTAATTTCATGAGTCTGCTTTTCCGCTTCTAATTCTTTTATTTCGTTTTCGTCGAGGGTCACATCTTTAAGTTTGTTATGCAAGATGTCACATTTTTTGCACGTATCAGAGCGAGGTGAGCCAAAACTGTAGTTGAAGTTTTCCTTGAAATATCGATAATAAAAGTCATAGGGCACTTTGGTTTTATATAAAGGGTCACTGGTACTTTCCGGTTCATAAAGTTCCAAATAGAGCTCATGCATTCTTTTTATACTTAGATCTGGAGACAAATAGAATCAACGAGACTTGTTTCTACTGTAATGCGACTCGCGTCTTGGAAAACTCTTGATATGCATGGTCACATTTTGCAGTATATCCTTTGATTTCCGGTTAGGTCTATTTTCGTGTTTTCCCTTGTTACTAGTTGGTGCTGTGATATTTCTGCCACGAATACTTTGAGCAATGAGGTCTACACGTTTCCTTGATATGCCGTGAATTGAACCAAAAGCATGTCTACAAACTCATACTGATAGGTGGCCCAGTCTAACAAAATACTTGTGAGAACAAGTACGCCCTTGTCTTTGATTTTTTTTTACGAGTTCTTTGAATGGCAGCAGTTTGAATCAATCCTCCCAAATAGGTATTTTGCAAATTTTTGTCGCCTATTTTGTTAAACTTTTCTAGGACAGCGTTTCTTGTTTCTTCATCCACACTCTGAAAACACTTGTACCTACAGTTACAGTTCGATCCAGTTAATCTCGGTCCCTTCTGTACCCCTTTATAGTTCGTATACATTTTTCCTCCTGCAGCAGATTTTTTATTAATATTTCTTTTCCAGTCAGCAGGATTTGCCATTTTTCTATTTTTTGGTGCAGGAACAGGAGGCTCCTCCGTGGGCAAATTGTTATCTACCGATTCAGTGGATTGTTCAGAGATACGTTTTTTGTTTAGACGCTTCCTTCTAAAAGAAGGTCCTGCCACATCAATATCAGAACTTTCGTCAGAGCTTGAAGGCTCATAATATGGTGAGTCACTAGCACTAAATGGCTCCGACTAAGTTTCACTCATTTTTAAAAAGCGGCAACGCAAAACAAAACTACGTGAAAAACAGATTACAATAACAATAACAACGCATGGAAAGCACTTATGCGACTAACAATAGTTAGAAACAAATCAGTCGTTGCCGCAATGCAGACAGCAAATGACCTTGCATTTCACGAAACCCAACGAACACACACGATCGTTTGGTACAAAAAGGATGCAGCTCCGGAGCTGCACCCTTCTTGCGCCAAACAACTGAGGAGGCAGATACATAATTGCGGATAATTTCTTAATTTATTAACGGATCTGCATCGTTTTTGTACCAGTCGATAGGCCAATTTTTTTTTGCATATAACGTATATTTCAACTCAAAATGACACAAAAAAGGAGCTGCATCCTTCTTGCAGCAAACTCCTCAATTAGTGAACGTAAGCTGTCATATCTTCAAGATTTACTAAAAAATGCAGGCATTCCCTCAAGTTATGCAGATTTTTACAATAACCTGTAATTGCTATTTACTGTTTGTATCTTGTTCTTAATATTTTTTATACTTTCTTAATAAAAACAAAACAAAAACGGCTGTTTTTTGTTTATGTCGACTTTATTTTAGTGTCACATTATTAAAACAGTTTAAATATTTTTTTAAAAGAACGTCACACTCTAATATATGACGAAAAATTCAAAAAAACAGAATAAAAAGTCATATTTTTTTTTAGAGAAGAAAGACACAATTAGTTCAAAATCATAATTTTATCAACCAAGAGTAAATCTCATTATTACCACTTGATTACGGTACTTAGTAGCACTACACCATAATAAAAGCATTTACTTAATCTGCATTGTTAAATTAGTATAAGAAAGTAAAATAAACAATAATCTTTAAACCACGATAACTCATAATTATTGAATTTTGAGTTATGACCTTCTTCCATTAAGGGAGCGATATGTATTTTTATTTTATAAATAGCGTATAATTGACATTTCTAACTTAGTAAAACAGTTATAAAAGTGTTATAAATAGTATGTTATGCATTAATAACCATTACATGAGAGTTGCATACGCTATTTTTTCTACACCCGATAAATAATCAAGAACTATAAATATTATATTTATATTTGTATTGAACACAATAAGAGTAATTACTCGTATTTCTGTAAAATATTCTACAAAATTGTGATTAATGGTATTACCTCGGGTATTGGTATTACGATAGATACAGGAAAACTATAAACATTCTATTTGTATTTATATTGAACATATAATAATCGTAATTAATCGGATTTCTTAAAAATATTAAGATTATTTATTGCATAGTTTGAAAAGTTTATTCCAGGTCCCACTGATCTGGAAGTGGAAGGAATATTTACATTTATTTCATTATTGTTAATCTCAATATAAGAGTTCTATATTGTATTGGAAATGCTGATTTTATGCTGAACCGAATTTTCAATGTAGCCTTCTGCCACTGAATTGAATTTCCAGCCACCGTGGCGTTTTAATGTAGTAATATCACCACCGGCATCTACTAATACGGTTGCAGTCCTACGAAAATAATGACCTGTATATAAATACGGATCAGGCAGATTTAAATATGTTGCTCTTCCCTATATTACCAAATTTATTAATACCAATGTTTTAAGTTGTGCATTTTCCATTAAAATAATTAACGAAAAAAAGATGGGTGGGGCAAATTTTCTGCCGTTGATTTATATAGTTTTTACTAATTTCGTAGTATTTGTCGGTAATTGTAAATGTTCGTTGTACTTTTGTTTTAGTTTCTATCACATTAATAATTAATATTCCATTCATATCTTTGACATTTTCATATTTTAGGTCATGTAGTTCATGCCTTCGACATGCTACCTAAAACAAAAAAATAAATTAAAAAAATACAACAATAATAAATAAAGAAAAGAAAATAAAGCAAAAGAAAAAATGAAATAAAAAAACAAAATTACCTAGACTAGTTTCGAACCCGCGTCTCATAGTCTAGTCCAAATTCAGCGCGCCTTAGCCCGCTCCGCAACGAGTTTACTTAACAAGTTTCCTCGAAATTCATAAAATATATCATGCATGAGTCAAATGGAAAATGTAATTTTTATATTTAGAAATGTCTATATTACGGTTAATATTTACCAACGATTTTATTATTAAATAATATGTCCATGTACTAGATGATTTCATAGTTTTCTTGAAAATAAACAAAATCTTTTTGGAGAATGTCAAAATATTTGTATTTCTGCAGTCCATAAACCGTTGATATAGTTTTTTGTACACTTCCTTAGATTTTTGGGGCAACATATTTTGCTTTTTCCGATATGTGTGGAGGAGTCGATGGTAAGTCTTCTATATCTACGGTGACCATAATTTTTTTAGAAAAAAAAAAGTACAGTAAGATTGTTTTCGAACGCATTCACCATTTTATAGAAATATCATGTCAACATTAAATAAAACACCAAATATGTTAATTTAAAAATACAATTTTTATTAAGTAAGGCATAATAGTGATATTAAACATCGAAAAATGTTAAAATAAAGCAAATAACATAAAAAGAACTTAAATTTTACAAAGACTTTTCCACTGATGTACTTGGAAATTGATTATCTTTTTTAACATCCCCTTTTTTAAACCAATCGTATTTTTCTGAAC